AAAATATTACATTAGAAATCTTTAATGCGCCGAATTAGGCACTGTGCTAAAATAAGACTGTGTTTTTAGATAAACTTATCAATTACCAATTTAGGAAACCTATGCTAATGTTACGTAACACCGGTTATATTACTGGTTGGTAAAATCTATAATGTGCATTTCGATTGCGATAGTAAATGACTTGTGTTGTATACCTACATACTGTACTTACCGATACAGGCACAATATCTGATAAAAATTAAGATGGAACGTAAAAAGTATAAATATCGACATTATATCGACAAACCTTTGCTAAAGAAATTACTTCTCATTCAAATAATCGTACGACAATAATTGTGATGCATAGCATATTTAAGTTTAAATTAAAAACACATCCAATCTGAAAACCGGAATTAAAAATAAATAAATAACCTTGAACAGACAAACAAACCCATTTTTTTAACTTTGTTGAGAATATTGACAAACAAATTAGAATTTACTGAAATTTTTTCTTAAAGCTAATATCTTTGATAATTATGGTGTCTTTATTCAAAGAAAAGAAATGTGACGTGCTAATTTGTGGTGCAGGTAAAAAAAATTATTCAACCTAAAAATTGGTCAGAGAATTTTCTAATATCACTAAAATTATTATTATTATGTTTTTTTTTATCATAAGGTCCCGTTGGCCTATTCCTCGCCAATGAATTAGCTGATTTTGAAATTAATTTCCGTATCATTGAAAAGGTCAAAAAGCTTCCGAATTTTTCAAAGGCTCTCTTAGTAGCACCCAGAACTTTGGAAATTTTTGATAATAGGTAATTTCATATTCGTTTATTCGTTTTTTAATTTCAATAATTATATTTGTTTTCTTCATATTTTCTTATTTATTTCAGGGATCTTATCGGACCATTTTTGGAACATGGTGTCAAAGTAAAAGATTTTTGTGTATACCAAAGCACTTCAAACATTAGTAACCCGCTTAAAGTCAACATGAGTAGCATGAACACCACCTTTCCCATTGGATTAATGGTCCGTCAAAATAAGACTGATGATTATCTAATTGATGCTCTACACAAAAAGAAATCAATAGGAAAGAAAAATGTTCCTAATGTTGAATTCGGCATGGAACTGTTGAGTCACAAAGAAGAGAATGACCATATTATTGCTGTTGTAAAGAATTTAAATAATAATGTTGAAGAAGAAATTCGTTGTCAGTATTTGGTAGGGTGCGATGGTGTACATTCCGGTGTCAGGAAAGGAATAAGTGACTGGACTTATCAAGGTGCGATTAAATAAATATGTAGTCTTAATTAATTTTTCTAAATTGTATTCTCAAAGTTATCCGCAAAATGAACCCAAAGTTTGTATTTAGCAAACAAACGTATATCTAAAGATAATTTGAGGAGTAAATAGATACAATTACAATGTAATGTCATTGTATCTATTTACCCCTTAAATTATCTTTATATGTACAGTACGTATATTTGTTTGCTGCAAAATTCGGGGTTCACTTTGCGGATAACTTTGAGGATACAATTGATGATCAATTCAAGACCAATTCCGAAATCCGCCGATATGGTTATTTTTTTAGTAATACTTTATAATTCATCAAAATATTTTTTTTTACCCCTAGGTCAAACTTTGAAATCTTCGTGGGCCTTAGCTGACGTAGAAATTGAACATGAATTAGTTAGATACGACCAAGCAACCGCTTTCTCTCTTGGTGAAGGTACCATTATTTATAATACTGTATGTTGCACTTTCATCTAAACAAATATATTTATGAATTATACTATATTACACCATTAGGACCTCTTGTGATTATACCGTTGGATGCTAGGAAAAATAATTACCGTATAGTTATCAAAATTGCTGACGAAGAGGATAAACATGATACTAACAACGGTGTTACACATGGACTCACAAATGAAAAGCCCATTACGATTGATGAACTGCAGAAAATATTTGATGAAAGAATTGCTCCGATTAAAATGGAACTAAAGAATCCTGTATGGATTTCCAATTTCAGGATTAATGAAAGGATTGTAAATAGATATCGAACAGGTCGTGCGTTTGTCGCTGGAGGTAATAAATTTTTACTTTTTTACTTACAATAATATTTATTATATATATATATAATTTTTTTTAATCAAAAAAAAGATTCTGCTCACTGTCATTCGCCAATTGGAGGTCAAGGCATGAATTTAGGAATTCAGGACGCTCATAACTTAGCATTCAAATTGGTTCTAGCTATTCGGAATCAGGTAGTTGACGTTAATAAAATTCTTGATAGCTATGAACAGGAACGATATCCCGTCGGTAAAAATGTTGTTTCAGGTACTGGCTTTATTACGAAAATGTTGGGTAGCAATGATATTATTACTACATTCCTCCGAACGCGTGTAGCTCCTTTTATGTTTCATTTCTTTCCTCAAGCTACACTTAATGCTCAAAGTAATTTACTCCAAATTCAACTTAATTACTTGCCTGAGACATCCGATATACTTCACAAGTATAAACCTCGTTCAGGCACAGATAACAAATTGGTCAAAGCAGGTCATTTCGCAATGGATGGACTATTAATGAAAATAATCCCTCAAAAAATTCATGATCACGTAACTTTGTATGATGTTTTACGTTCAACGGCATTGAAACACACTTTAATATTATTTACTCTAAAAAAGGGTGTCACTGCTGATTGTAATCCACTTATTGATACGTTATTAAAGATCTATCATACCTATAAAACTACTATCACTCCTATTATTATTTCATTTCAAGGCGTCGTCCAGACCGCTGATATACCATTCATGCCATTCCTAGAAGAAGGCAGAGAACAGCATATATTTGCTGAGTTCAGATTTGAATTGCATGAAAAATATGGAATCACCAAGGAGGTCGGGAAGCAGGCTTTTGTACTTGTTCGACCTGATTTATACATTGCTAGTGCAGTGTATGAAGATGATGTTGATGAACTGAAAGCATTTCTAGATGGTTATTTGGTCAAGGCAGATAGATAGTCATGAATTTATAGCTCTTTTAGATCATGAATTTATTTTATACTGTATTTAAAGTATAATTAGTTTTTTTTTCTTATATGACCATTATTTATTTGAATTTGGCATTTTTTTGTTTTCCATTTTATTTTAAATTCGACTTCAATGATTTTCTTTTCCTTTATCCATAATTCTATTCTTAAATTTGATGTAAAGAATTTATTTATTTATTTGTATTTTAACCAAATACGATTCGATTAATATTATAAATATTTATGCATTAACTTTCTATTCAGTTCTGATTGAAACGTGTTATTTTTAACCCTTTTCTAGCCGTATATCCAATCAAATTTGATTAAAATTTTTTTTTTATTTAATTATACTGGCATGTAGAATTAAATAAAAAAAAATTTATTATAAAAAAATAATCTGTATATACTTTGCATATTGTAATTTATATTTTTATTGTTTTTTTGTTGATTTTGTATAATTATATGTATATTTGCTAGAAGTCATATATACCTATAACTATTTTGGGCGATTTATTGTGAAACACATCATTAAGGGCCACCATGGTAATAAATACTGCATCATTATTACATGCAATCTGAAATCCTATATTTCAAATATTCCGTATTTCTGTAGATAGAAAAAAAATAAATTGTTTGAAAGCAAGCTAATCCTTTATGTAAGCCCATTTTTTCAAAGGTTTGAATAATTTGTCATGGTGATTACATAAGTTTACCTTCTACTGCTGGACACCATATCCCCGATATGAATAAAAATTTCTCTATTCACACAGCCCTAAGTCACTGGTTCCAATAAATCAGTAAAATAATAAATAAGTAGAAAATAACAGAGTACAGTCAAACCTCTCTATAGTCACCCTCTATATAAGCACATCATATAAAAATTCTCTTTATAAGCACATCTATTTT